ATCTATCTATCTATCTATCTATCTATCTATCTATCTATCTATCTATCTATCTATCTATTCTTCTCAGAATAGAGCTGGAAGGGACCTTGGAGGTCTTCTAGACCAACCCCCAACTCAAACAGGATACCCAATACCTCTGTGCCAACCCAAAGCCTTGAGGGAGAAAGAGGAAAATTACTGACCATTTCCAGGATGTTTTGTGTCTTCAGCACCTGAGGGGAAACATCACAAGGCAGTTGAGACTAGATTGTGTTGCAAGCGTGCCATAACTTCAGGCCTTAAGGAGGTGTTGTTGTTTTTTAAAAGGCAGGGACTTTGTGGGTGTGTCATCAGGGGCCCAAAAGCAGGGGGAACCCACCCTGGTTCCCCCACCCCACCAATTCCAGACAGGGGAGCCAATGAAGGCCAATGAAGACCTGCACGAGGAATCTAGGCATAGAAGTTGAATCGATCGATTGATCGATCGGTCGATGAAATAAAAAGACGTGAATCCGACGGGTTTGCATGCGTTTCCCTTCAATTCAATGTCAAATAATTAATGCGCTCCTTCTTATTTTGGAGCGCGACAAGCTACGGCAACCAAGCGTGGCCCACAGTTTTGCAACCCCGTTTAATTGTTTTGTTGATGGCCACCCTGGGCAGGATTGGGTGGATGGACCATGATGAGCCCACACCAAGAGGAGGAGGAGGAGGAGGAGGAGGAGGAGGAGGAGGAGGAGGGACCCTTGGGTGCTCTCTCTTAGCTTGGTAGTTTCCTCACAAGACATTTCATGACCCAACTACGTAACGCCACCTGTGCTTCAAGATAGTTGCATTTGATCAGAAATCTAAATTTAAAAAAATAGAAATGCAACCCTCTGGGAGGTACTGGTTAGAACTGCAAATCGGAGGAGACTGTGAGTACTTACAACTGAAGGAGAGGATGAGGAGAATTCCCAGAAGCTGAAAAGAGAAGAGAGAGGCATGAAGGAATTGCTTCACAAGGCAGACTAAATCTTGCAAATATTACTATATAAAGAAGAAGAAAAGGAAGAATGAGAAGAAGAAGAAGAAGAAGAAGAAGAAGAAGAAGAAGAAGAAGAA